TTTGTTACTGTTTCCCAGCGCCACTTCAGGAACAGCACTATTAATTAGAACTCAACAGTGAATGGTCGAGTGGGGAATTCTACCAAGGTATCAGAATTAATTTTAAATAATTAAATTATATAAAAAAAATCCCGGCCAATGGTGGGATTCGAACCTGGTACCCTTGGATCTACAGGCAGATACTCTACCACTGAGCCACCCACACACCAGCTGCTTGTTTTGGGACCTTTTTTTGCCATTGCATAGTGTTTAAGACATTCATTGCAGATAAACACATACAATAAATCTATCTTATGCTCGGCAACGGTGTCAACAGTGTGTGACGCGACACTGCGCCAGCCAATAAGAAGAGACGGTCCAAGAACCCTGCGCGGCGCGATGGATGTGCCGTCCGAACAAGAACGCGGGATTATATTGATTGATATTGACTATTTGACTTTTGCAACGCTCTGTTTTTTTTTACGTTTATTTTGCTAATTATTTGTAATTGTTCTATTAAAATAAAGATTAGAATCAGTGAAACATACAGTCCATAATTACATCAATTTCAACGATTTAACACATAGATCATATTTCTTACACCAATCTTCTACATCCCGTCGGCAATTTACCCAATAAGATCTTTCTCAAACTCATGCCAGTGTCCATTAGTATGAAAAAGTTCTTCTAAATGACTGCTATAAATCTCCAACACAATTCTGACATTTGTCTAGTTTCACTATATTTGGCTATCTCTTGCCAAGTAGGTCTGACTCTATTTTTGAGCCATTCTCGGACAACTTTAAAGTCATTGTCGTTCTTTTGAGTCTTTTAATGGCATTCAAAGGTGATTGCGACTTCGTCATCGTCTAGGTTGATAGTGGTTGCCTAAAGAATAACTTTTTCAACCGGCTCCTTTAGTTTTTCGAGCCTTTTAGAGTACTGGCATTGCTCTGAATTTATGGTAAACCATTCATAATTTTATCCGCTTCTTTTTGACGTCTTTCCCTTTTTCCTTGTCATTTCTGCGCTTTTATTTATCTTCTTCTCACCTTTCAATCTCCTCTTCTTCGTCCTTTCTGCGCATTTCCTTTTCTTATTTTTCCTTCTTCCTGCGCCTTTTCTTTCCTTCCTTCTTCCTGCGTTACTCTTTTTCTTTCACTTCCTTTTTCCTGCGTATTATCTTTTTCTCCTCTTTTTCCTTCCTGTGCCTTTCCTTTTCATCTTTTCCTTCTTCCTGCCCTTTCCTTTTCTTCTCCTTCTCCTTTCTGCGCCTTTCTCTCTCCTCTTCCATCTTCAAAAACGATTCCGGGAGGCCTGAAGTATGTATGTTTCATACGCAGTGGATCTAGTATTTACCATGAACAAAATGCATAGGTAACTTTTCGTTGTATCCCACCGCTTTTTTTGGAAACTTAATTTATTGACAACTTAACTTTAACAATTCCACTAGTAACTATTAACATTAACGTACAACGTCTATTATCAAACTAAACTGTGCCTTTAGGATCATCTTGAACCTTCTCGAACCGTCCAGTTGCTTCTTTAAAAGAAATATGTATTTACTATTCTTTCTTTTTCCTTTATTCGTACGTTTACTTATGACGACCTCAGCACACTTTAGGGTGATGGATGACACTGCAATTCTTCTTCACACACAGGCTATCGCAGGGCGCAAGGTGTCATTATTAATAATCCTTAGCTATTAGGGTCAAGCTTTCAAAATGTGAAAAAAAAATTATAATGTAGACATGACTATATACTTACCCTAACATACAATAAACCTAATAGATGTATCGGAAATAGAGCCATATAACTTATAATGGTAAAAAAATCAAAAAAGCAAAAATCTGAATAGTACACTGTAGGAGGAGAGCAGGAAAATATATTGTAAAAAGATTGTCCGAATATAAGTGCTTAGCTCTAATAATAAGCAGAAATGGCATATCTATTGGGTGAACATAAAATAAAGATATCTGCATAACAGAAAAGCCACATAATTTTTATTTTAAAGCAAAATTCTTTGAAGGAAAACTAGAATATGATTTACAATTAAAAGTATTTTAACATGTGGCAGTAAAATGTGTTTAATCAAATTGTAAATTAACAAATAGTAAATAATATCCTTTTTGCAGGCTAATGGCCTTAGTAGTCGATGCCGATGACACCAAATAAAAAAAAAAATATCCTCTTTGCTACGATCTTCCAATCAGAAGTAATCGCTATAGAATTGAGAGTTTTTTTTAATATTCCTGTTGCTAACATAACTATAAAGAGCTTTTCAGATAGCCAGACAGCGCTTAAAGCTTTGTGGTCCAACCGAGTTAATTAGGAAATGTTTATATGTCCTCAAGTACCTCGGAACTCGGAACAAAGGTACTTTGATCTATGTTCCGGGACACAGTCATTTAAGTGGAGGACAATGATATAGCCGACATGCTTAACGGATGAGGAATTGAATATGAGTTCATAAGATCACTTTAAATATGAAAATTCAGCCAGTTGTACCATATAAAAAAATATAGTCAATAAATAAGGATTTCTATAAAAAATATTGTTGGACCACCCATTTATTTCGTTTTTTTTTCTTACTAACTTTTGAAACTGGTTGACAAAAAACTGTTATTAAACACAATAATGAAACAATTTAATGGATCGCCAAATGAATCGAATAAAAAATCAAAATTAAATTAAATTTAAAATATTTTTTTTATGAATATTCCCATTATATCACTTAAAGATTAGGTTAAATTCGATGTAGGATAACATACTCAACTATGATGAACTTGCACCGAAATTAAAACTTGTACGGCTTCACCTATTTTATTTTCGTTATTACCAACTTAGCCACGTGTTAGAAATATCAATTGGTGTGGTCAATAAATCGCTTAGTGAATAGATTAAATTAAATTAGATTAAAAAAAAATTGGAGAGTATTTGTCCTTGTCCACTGCCACTTTTTCAAATCTGTTGTGAAACTCTGTTATTTAGAGTAATAAGGTCTTTTTTTAACAGACTCAGTAACTTTAATACTACCTTCCGCATGTAGTTACAAGTTTTTGGATTTTTTTTCACCTAGTGTTAGAATTTCAAATGTAGCCAGGCCTCACACTGACATAAGACGTAAATTGGTACTACCTCTTCCTCTTCTTTATAGAGCCTGTACAATTTTGCTTATTTTTCTGGATTAATAACTCTCATGCGCCTTCTTAGGTGACAGTTTCCGGTAAGAAGACCTAATGTTTTCCTAACGATTTTTCGTTTTTGATCCAGTAGGTCTTTTGTGAACTTGGCCGACAGCGGTTTCTTAATGAACTTTGGCCCGTCTTAATCCTAGATAGTTGTTTCATTATTACTGAGACTACTTTTACATCCATTGTTTGATGAATGCCTCGCACAATATCTTGACAATTCCAAAGAAGGATTTGTATGATGAAAAATTTGATCTTATGGACAGCTTTTACATTTTTAAATATATACATATAGTGCAACAATAGTTTTTGTTCGTTCTGTAAAATTGTATATTGGAATCATGTATGAATTTCCCGCTCTAAAACATTTTTAAATTTTCCCGCTATTTACGAGTGGATACACACAACAGTAAGAGGCCAAAAGAAAAAAAATAATTGACTAGTACGCCATCATATACTGGTTGCGATTACAATTTAGTTACACATCTGACTGGGTTGTCTCTGCTGGTAGTCTTCTTTAGACAAGCTAGACATAGTACTCTAAGCAATAAATAAAGGATATGCATAATAGATCTGAAAGGGGTCAACTTGGGGAAAGCTACATAAGCTTGTATATTTACTTTTAAAATAAATTAATTTTATGTTAATTTTATCCCATTTTTTTCTTAAAACGTTAGTCTATTACGAAATTAAAATATTTCACTTTATTTTGGCGCGCAATAATAAAAAAACCAGAAGAACTTTAAAAAAAATTGTAATTTATATAGTCCGGTCTTTAATAATATTTGAAGTTGAATATTTTTCGAAACAACTTCATCTAGTAAGTATTAAGGATCTTTTAATTTCTTAAAGATAATCTTTAACCAAAAAGCATTAAGATATAGATTAAGAGTAGTTTAAAGAAAGAGTTGATAGGTTTGCACAATCGTGTGGTTTGCAAATTTTTTAATAGGGTTTATCTATGCACCATATAAAACGTGAAGCTCATCCTAATACTTTTGCTTCCTCGTAAAAGTGTAATGGGTGGTATATTAGTCTGATTTGATAAGTTTGGAGTACTGATTTTTAAAAGACAAAATGTCTTGTACTGTCCGCTATGATACTACCGGTTGTTTTTGTTCTCTAAAGAGATAATTTTTATCAGTACTACTTTTTATCTGAACTAACTACCTTCGCTGACCAAGATTGCCGGATGTTATTGTCCTCTGAAGACAAGTAGGTTGTCCATCTAATTGAACTTACCAAATAAATCTGGTTCTGGTTTTGAATCTGTAAACTATAGCATTTAATACAAAAACACTACCGCACCACCATGGCATATACGCCCTCTTCCTTGTAATCTCACTTCAAAACAAATCGATAATACAAGAAAGAAACCTAAAACACTTTTTTCAAAAGACCATGAACAACTCTATGGAATCCTGTTAGCCTAACTGGAAAGGATGCAGTTTATTAGTAAAGACATAAAATGCGCCGAAAAATTTTTATTTAAGTAATCGTTGGATAATAATAAATACAAGCAGAAATTAGGCGTCAATTTAAATTATTCTCAACATTATGTTAATCTGAAAGCATATCACTAAAAAACGGCATTAAAAATAATTTAGAAATATATCTCTAAATTACTTTTTTTACGACCTTTAAACAATAAAAAAACTCAAAACTTTTATGTGAAAATCAATATAACAGAGTGGTTTTGTTTTTTGGCTTACTGACATTAGAAATTACACTAATGCAGCGTATTAATTTTGATGAAGCACTTTAATAATCCAAATATGATACTTGAGTAATTAATGAATTTGATATTAATAATGTAGTATAGATACAGACCCATTTTAGGAATAGGAGCTCCCATCATATTTTCTTTCGGATTATTAGACTTGGCTGCATTCATTCGGCGATTCTGTTCTGCTGCCGAAGTACCCATTTGATTAGCTGGAGGCTGGCCTGGTTGACCTGGTAAACGAGGGCCCCTCGTGGGCTCTACAGGAAGAACTCTTCGCCGCTTTTTAGGAAGTTTGGCTCGGGCCTAAAAAGTAAAGACTTTTTAATTTATAATAATTTTTGTTCTGGAAAAAATCTTTTTTGTGTAGCAGTCTAATACTCGAAAAATACATAAAGATAAGGAAGACAGTGAGACTTTTAAGGGTGTTATCTACGCTAGACAAATTTACAAATTTTTTGTTTTTATTTCGCTTATGCGCGTGCAAAAGGAAACAAGTCCGAAACGGTGCATTTTGAGTTAATTTCGACAAACAAGTTGTTGAATAAATATTATTTTTTTTTTTATTTAATTCTGCAAATTTACAATCAACTCTTAAATTACATAGAGATATACTTATATCTGTGAAACGAGTAAGGCAGGTGAGGAGAAATCGTCCACTGGCGATCCTCCTGTATTTACTGTGGTTCAGTGGTTCGATGGGTTATTTATCCATTGTGGTTTGGAACCTCCATTAGGTCTGTAGGCCACTGTGTTTTAAGTCTTCTTCTGATATTAGATGGATTACTCATCTCAGTTATATATAGGTTTTCGTTTCCCTGTAGTTTCTCTTTGTAAATTATTGACATTCTTTTTATTTCATCGTCTACGTATGCTATTTTTAAGTCATTGTGTAAAGTAAGATTGGATACATACCATGGGGCATTTGTTAATCTGCAAAGTACTTTTGATTGTAACCTTTGAATGATTTTCACATTTGATGCTTTGGTACAGCCCCATAGCTGTATACCATAAGTCCATATGGCTTTAATATGTACTTACTCGTATATAATAAAAGCTTATTCTCGAGGGATAATTTGGATTTACGTCCTATCAGCCAGGACATTTCTCCTGTTTTTAGGTTTAGTTGCTGTCGTTTGGTTATAACATGTTTTTTCCATCTGTTTTTAATTTAGATGTAATTCTAAGTATTTAAATTTGTTTGAATTGGTATCTGTGAGTTTTGAAATGATACTGGAGGACATAAAGTGCGCCTAGTTGTAAACGTTATCTGTGCTAATTTGTTCTGGTTTTGAAGGACGTCAAGGTGTTGCTGAAGGTAATTGGATGCTACAGCTGGATCTTCGTTTACTGCCTGTACGGCAGTATCATCTGCGAAAGTAGCAATAGTTGTATTGTCTAAGATAGGTAAGTCTGCAGTATAAACGAGATAAAGCAGTGGCCCGAGCATACTTCCCTGTGGTACCCCTGATTTTATAGGATGGAATCTTAAAACGATCGTGTTCAAAAATATCTTTTAGATAAATAGGATTTCATACGCAGATAATAAGGACTTGGAAAGGTGTCTTTGATTTTCTTTAATAAACCGGTATGCCAGACCTTGTCAAAGGCCTGGGCGACGTCAAGAAATGCTGCTATATAATATGTCTTCTCTTCGAGGCTCGAGATAATTTTGTTAACAATTCTGTGTGTTTGTTGAACTGTGGAGTGATGTTGAACCCGAATTGATAGTCGGGGATTATGGCATTTAGTTATATATCGTTTGAAATTCTGTGTAGTAATAGTCTTTTAAATAACTTAGATGGAATTGGTAAGAGACTGATAGGACGATATGAACTGTGTATTACTACAATTTTCATACTAGGGGAAAGTATAATAGTCTAAGCATGCTATTGTATATTATTGTTAGTAATACAATTGCCTTTTTTGGCAGTTTCCTTAGTATTTTATATGTAATAAGATCGTATCCCGGATCTTTATGTTGATTTAATTTATTTGTTTCCTGCCTTACTTCCGATGACGAAAAATATGTAATTGGTAGCGACATTTGACAAGGTACGTCGAGGTAATTTTCAATTTTCAATGTCATCATTGTGGTTTATGGCTGGTTCGTATGGCGTAAATACTTGGACTAAATGTTCGGCAGAGGTATCGGCTTTTTCTGATTCACTTCGGGATCATTTTACATCTATTTTCCTTATCGGTGGAATTTAAGCTTGTGGCCTTCCCAATTGTGTGGTGCTCTTGGTTCAGTGAAGTTATGTAATGGTCAAATATTTTGTTCTTTGCATTCAACATAATTTTATGCAGCTTACGTTTTAATCTGTTATAGATATTTCTGTCCTCGATATGTCTTGTCCTCTGCCATTTACCCCTTGCCCTTCGTTTCTCAATTACCAGCTCCTCGAGTGTATCGAGGAATATTAACTGTGGCATTGTGTGCTAAAGATGATTAGTTAATATGTGTTCCTTTGCACAAGTTTTCGTGTAGTGTAAATCGAAACAACTCTTTTTTAATGTGCAAAGGCGAGCTATCTTGAGTTGGCTTAACTAACACTTAGAAATTATTTAGTACCATCCGAGTTAACGCAAGTTATCTCCCAAGGCACTAAAATTTCCGTAATGGAGGTAAGTAATTTACCTCTCTTTAGTTTTGTTTACGTTTAGAACTCATGCGGTTTTAGTCGTATTACTGGATTTGGCTCTAAATCCCTATTAGTACAAAAGTTTACTAATTTATTTTCTATACAATGAAAATATAATAAAAATACAGTAAGTTACCTGTCAAAAATGTGACAAAATGTAGTGTATTATAAGAAATGCGAAAAGTCAGCTAGAAAAAGAAAATAGTAACAAATCAATTGAATAAACATCAACAGGAAGCTAAAGATGCATATTCCGTGAAGAAATTGGATAAGGAAAAAAGAAAACTAGACGAGTCTAGAGACGTACTCTTTCACTTGCAGCAATGCGTACCAACTACAAGTCTGACCTCATCAGTGGTGTTTTATAAGCACCATCTATGGACCTACAACTTAACAATGTATGATTGCGTCAATAACAAAACTACTTGTCGTGGTACGATGCACAATCTGGTAAAGGTGCAAATCAGGTAGGTTCTTGCTTGTATAAAGAACTTTTGACTTTATCATCAAACATTAAATATGTACTCTATTCTGATAAGTGAGTCGGTCAGAACAAAAATGACCACATAGTTGCGATGTTTATGACTTTAATGTAAAATTCAAATTTTGAGATAGTGGTTTACAAATTCTTAATACCCGGACACACGAGAATGAAATGTTACACTATTCACTCAATTATTAAAAAAAAACAATTGTGAAGGTCTTATCGAACATCTCAGGGACTGGTTTAAGTTGGTAAGATCGTGTATCAAAAAACATACGTTGGAATGAGAAAGGATGATTTTATTGATTTCTCCTTGTTACTGAAAACGTTTCTACAAGCTGGAAAAATAGATAATTATAGCAAGAAATTTGTATGGAAAAATATGAGGTGGAGTCGCTATGAAAAACATTTGACATAATTTCCTACAAAAATAGCCATAACAAAAACAAACCTTACAAGAAGATGTCGTTTTGCAGAAAATGTCATACTTCTTTTCCTGCAAATCTTCCGAAATTCATATATTCAACCTATATCAGAGGAAAAGAAAAACAATTTGATCGAACTACTGACCTACGTCTATATAGTATTTTACAACTTTTATAGAAATCTACCTACTTAGAGAAATATCAAGAAAACTTTACCAATTTTAGATGAAGCGTCTTTAGATGATCATTAGTGTAAAAGGAATTAAGTACTATTTTTTGCGCATTCTGAGTAATATTTTATTTTTTATTTTCAAACCAACGTGTTTTTCTTCTAGTAAAGCATGATTTTTAATGCTTTAGGACTAATCAAACGTAATGTCTAATCAATATTGGTTTAGTGTAATATGACTTTTTTACAAAATTCAATTGAAAATTGCACCTTTTTAAAAATCAATTTTTCTCAATACTATTGTTTTCGACTTGTCTTCCTTTACACACGCGAGTGATTTGTCTTGTAGAAGATGGAAATACTTTGCTGCAGATGCACCAGCGGTGGAGCACTACATTAAAAAAGACGTTTTAAAAATTCAAATGTAAAATTAGATCATTAACTTGACATAAGACTTAATAAATCAGGCGTTACGCACTCGCCTTCAATTCACTGTAAAATCTTTATTTTTTATTTTTAAAAATATAAAAATACCTATATTGTTGTTAGTTGTTTTTAAATTCATTTTTTTTTTTATTATAATATAATTCCCACAGTTAGACGATCTATTTTGAAGTCAAGTATTTTCTTTTACTACAGAACAAGAGTGAACGAAAAATTTGTAAATTAGCTTTTTGCCCAATGTTTACTAAAAAGGTATCACTGGACCCCCGACCATAAGCTAAAATTTCACAAAAGGGTGCTTGTTTTTCAACAATGTACAATAGGGTGGAGCGACCTTTCTATTTCTGGAAATTTAACCATCCTGTATGCTTAATAGGTGCCTATTTTACTCGTTCTTTCTTCTTCTTGTTTGGGGTTCTATGACTGCGAATTTTACATCCATTCGCCTATATTTATCGTTTTTAGACCTTATTTTGATTTTACAATGTTTTATTTTTGTGTAATTCCTACTAACTAAAATTTGTAATATAAGTAAATTATATTTTTTTTCCAATTTTTTTTTTAAATCATATTTTTTAAATTCCCTTTTTTTTGTTTGATTTTTTTTTCCTTTTTTTTTGTTTTTTTTTTGTTTTTTTTTTGTTTTTTTTTTTCTGTTTTTTTTTTTGTTTTTTTTTCTGTTTTTTTTTTGTTTTTTTCTGTTTTTTTTTTGTTTTTTTTTTTGTTTTTTTTTGTTTTTTTTGTTTTTTTTTTCTCCCCAGAGGAAACATAAACAGGGACACATTTTACGCCTTTTACTCGTTAGAATGGCAAAATAACTGAACGTCAGAAAACAATATCTTCGGCTGCCGAAACCGACTTAAAATTTCGATAATTACCATATTTTTAAATTAACGAATTTTGATTTCTTTAAATGCTTATTACTCTCTTAAATAATAAGACAGAAAAAACCTAACAATTAAAAACGATATATTTGGCTGCCGAATGACGCCGTATGTCCAATTTTTGGTTTGTTAACTAAATTTAAAGATAATGTTTTACCTACATACGCGTTTGTTATCAAATATTATTAATGAAAATAAACGAAAACCTCGTGTAAGTGCAGTTTCAAAACAGTTAGTTAAAGAGTTGAAAATTAT